AAGGGACAGGGGCACCCTGCCCCCTTCGGGGGTGCAGAATCTCAGCTCTTCACCTCCTCCTCTTCCCCGTTGCTTCCTGATAAACAAATCCATCGATCATTGGTGTGAAAGCCCCAATTGCTCACAGTAGGTAAGGGACTCCAGCTCCCCTATCTTTGTCTTTCCCCTAATGATCTTCCTCAATTAAGCCTTCCAATTACTCCCCAGGTAGCTTGCCAGTTGCGGTGATTTCGTTACTCGGTGGCGATAAGCCAGGAGAGCTTTTATCACCCCACGGCCAATTACTTTTATTGTGGTTTTAAAATGAGTCAGCAGATCAGCCATGGCAGCTGGGCTCCGGCTCTGCTTCCGAAGGGGGGGATGCTCCCAGGTCCCTCATTCCCACAGGGAAAGGTCCAGGCAGCCACACACCTTCTCCCTCCAGCCGAGACACCTGTCTGGTGCTGGCATTCGGGGTGGTGGCATCTCCTCACCAGGAAAGCCTGAACCCAGCCCTGAGATGGGCCAGAGGAACTGCTGTGGCTCTTCCTCCCAGATGGAAGGAAGAGGGGAGTTGCTCCAATGCTTAATAACCCTCCTTGTTAAAAGCGCTTCCTGTATTTCTAACTTCTTTCCTTTGACTGTTTGCTTATTCTCCCCTGAGATCTGTTATCAGGAATCATCTCCCCACTGGGATTAACTCTTGGATGTCTCCCGTTTGCTGCTTATTCCCAACACTGGTGACAGTCCCTGGACATAAAAAATATCACCTCTTGCTGCCCTAGAGCTTAAAGTAAAGCTCTGAATTGCACCTTAAGCTCCGTATTTCTGAGCCACGCATGCTTTCTTTCTGCCAGGGGTTTTGGGGACACCTCTCCCTAAGCTGGTGGCAGCTGATCCTCTAAGCATGGTGGGCTTTGCCCCAGCATTCCACTTGCCCCGCTGCACCTTCCTATGGAGAAGGAAACCCCCTAACGCCATCTTTCTCCTTGCAGCTCCACTCCCGGGACAAAGCCAGGCTCCCCCTCAGCATGAACCCCAAGAGCAGCCACTTCATAGCAGGGATAATGGCTGGTTTCTGCCTTTTGGCAGAGAAAATCCAACACTGAGCAGCTCCTGGGGTGCTGGAGCTGATGGGAGCTTCCTCTGATGAAGTTTCCTCCTGCGGTAGGTTGGAGATGTTGGTTACCTTAAACCCGGTAAGTGGCTCTGCCCCTATTTTGTGCGGGCTCCCAAATCAGTACAAACCTTTCTTCCTCGTCCCACCCTTCGCCTCCATCTTCCCTCTGGAAAGGAGACAGTGGTTGGATTGTTTGATTGCCCCACGTCATTAGAGGTACAAGGTACCTGTTAATCAGGGAACATGAAAGCAGGTAAGGATGGAGTTTGTCCCTGGGTTAAGAAGGAAGCAACAGAGATGGAGAGATAACAGCTCCCTGCACGCAAAGCACTGCCGGAAAAAAGCTCCAGGCCCCTAGGAATGGCCTCAAACCTGGCTGTATCCCACCCTGGCATGGCCATGGGCATGATTTTCCATGGGGTGGAAGGAAAAGAGGGGAGAGATGGGGAGCAGCCCTGGAGACACGTCCTCATAGAGCCAGGGGCTACCAAGGGCCTGCAAGCACTGGCAGCGTGAGCCAAAAACCTGTGGGATTTCGGGTGCTCCTCAAACCCAGCCTCGGCAGCCAGATGCGGGCTGGGCAGCCGGGATGCATCCGGGGCTGGCAGGCACCTGTATGCTGAGCGCAGCGGGGGGGGACACAAGCAGAGAGGGGAGGCCCAGCCTGACCCCACACTGGAGATGAGAAGCCACCCACAGTGTCCCCAACCTGCTCCCTTTCTGCTTTAATTAAAACCATCCTGGAAATGAGTGCTCCCCAGGAGAGGCTTGGAAACGAGGCCGCCCTCTGCACCCCAGAGGGTTTTTGGAGATGGCACAAGGCAGGGAGAAGCCCCCCAAGAGCCAGGGC